GATAGATAGATAGATAGATAGATAGATAGATAGATAGATAGATAGATAGATAGATAGATAGATAGATAGATAGATAGATAGAGTGTAAAACATAATGGATATGATTAATTTATTTTTCTATTTAATGTCCTCTTACAAACGCTTTGATTGATATTCCTGATATTCTTCGCTGAACATGGACAGAAGGAAAAGTTGTAAACGCTACTCAACATCATTAATTTTAAGTCGTCAGGGCTTCCTGGCAATATTAAAATTCATTTGGCATTTTTCCTCTGTCTTCCTGAGAGGTTAAAGTCCAATTCGCACTCCTCTGCAGCTGTTCACACTAATTACAAAGAATGAAAATACTACACCTCTCTTAATTCGGATGGCTTCTCACCCTGGATACACCCTGTTTTCCAGTTGCTAACCATGCCATTTGTTGCTGCACAAGTGTTTTTTTCTTAAAGTAGTTTTTACCAAAGCTTGTTTTCATAAAAAGCCTCTGCTCACTGCAGCCAGAAATGAGGCTGATAAGAGTTTGTGGGCTGAAAAGAGAGGCAATCAGACTGAAAGAAAAACAACATTCCGTTGCGCCGATGTGCAGCCTTCGCGTCGCTTTCAAACCAAAACTAGCAACGAAAAAAAAAAAAAAAGTCCAGTTTTTCCCTGGAGCCCCTCTGCTACTGTGACATCAAATATTGATTAATAGAGCTTGGAGTCATTTCTATGCTGTAAGAGTATCAATTGCAAGGCGGGCCTGAGATGACTAAAAGCCTGCAGTATTTAGATTACCGGGAGAATGGGGGAATGGATTGGATACTGTTGCATAATGCACACAATCATTGTGAAGTTGGTGTTCCAGCCTCAAAAGCAGAATGCGGAGGATCAGGCTCTCTTCCATTTTTGGTTAGATTTAATAGTCATTATGAGCCGGTGATTGCCTTTGTCCGGCGTTACAGCCGCCTCCCACACTCCCCCTCAAACCCTCTTTATTGCTCTTCGAGCACATGCAGCCGCAGATCCTTCAGAAGACGTGGCAGCCGCTTCTGATTCGTCCCCGAAGATCTTTTTTTTTTTTTTTTGGACGCGCAAGTGCGTGTATATATAGAGGCTTTTAAAAGAGTGTGAAAAACAGATCAACATCCAGATGGAAAAGACACAGACATGGGTACAGCGTTTGAAAATCAACTCTTGAACCATCACCCGGCACTTTGGCGTCACTGGATGAGTGTTGCTCGGAGGCTGAGGGAAAGAAAAGAGGGCGTGCACAAAAGAGGAGGTCAAGAAATACATCTGTAAGAAAACTGTGTGAAAATACTTTTGTTTACGCGCGCCTTGGTTCCCAAGAGCCTATCAATTTACGGAGAAGTTTTAGATGAACAATTTAAAAAGTGATGTTATTTTCTAACTGTTTTCTAATTCATCAGCAAGTGGAGAACATTAACATCCAAATCAAATGTACTCAGCTTGCTAATTTTAAACCTTCCAGGTACGTCAGAGACGGAGGTCATTATTAGACCAGACGATGAAAGTAAAACTGGTTTATTTCCTGTTCTAAAGTTAACGTGACAGATTCTGTTCCCTCTGTCACACTTTCTCTTCGTCTCTCTCTGGGCTGAGTGCGGTGTAGGCAGGTGTGATGTCACAATCGGGGTAAGTATCCTCAGTCCTTTTGCGGTGCAAAGCAAAATCCTGCCGCCGTCAGAGTTGGAGGGGAAACAAACTCGGCTCCAGCCCTGCTCTGATTCCCACGTGTGCTGGACACGATGGATGACGCCGACCGGTTCACCCATGCTCGCAGAACAGAATTAGAAGTGTGACTTACGTGGAAACGCTCCCACTGTTTTCTTTTATTGGTTTTGGGTGTCTGATTTCAAAACAGGCAAATGTATTGGATCCAGATAGGTAGACAAATAAATAGACAGATACACAGTTAGATACATTTTAAGGCAGAATAAATTACAAAAAAGATTTTCATGTAGCCTACTGGT